ATGGTGCCATCTTAGGCCAGTGAAGCAACGTTCTCCACAACTAGATTGAAGAACAAAACAACAGCAACTTGTCTGTTCCCCTTCCCCCAATTCCCCAACAAAAATCTTAAAAAAAAAAAAAAGTTTCTTGATGTCCCACATAGGAGAATATAAAGGAGATTTGAAAAAACTAAGCCCAAACTAGAAAGATTAAAAATAAATTTGTGAGATAAAGGATATAGCAACCAAAACATTTTTTAGTGTACTTCTAATTAATCAGATTTGGCACTTGATTATTTCCTTGGTTTGAAAGAAATGTAACTTCTAATTGGATTTTTAGCATGTTTTATCTTTTAATTATTATTTATAATGTATATTGTTTATAATGTATATTATAATGAGTTCCTAAAACATACATTGCTAAGACAATTTATGGTTATGATTCAGATTTTCTTTATTTTTATTGACAACAAGTGAAATTTTACCATATTTAACCAGCTTTCTTTATTTTTATTTTTTTGCATCTTAGTATTGCCTCTAAATTAACTTTGGCTGAACTAAATCAGGTTCTCTACCGGTGTGAATCAGAAGAACAAGAAGATGGTGGGGGATGTTATAACATACCAAACTGGTCGTCTCTTAAATATGGAGGTCTTCAAGGTAAGCAAGTATAAAGATAGTTAAACTTTTTTGTTTTTGTTTCATTTTTAGAGTTGTGTGGTGTCTTCTTCATAGAAATAAGAGTACGAGTATGTGCTTAGAGTTGGACTGCTTGGGTTCATATTATGGCTCTGCCACCTACTCATTTACTTACCTCTGGCAAATAACTTCTCTGTGCCCTAGTTTCTACCTCTATAAAATGTGAATAGTGTTGCTAACAAATAGGCTTCGTTGAGGATTAAATGAGATAACTCGTTTGGGCCCCAAATGGGACTAGGTTATAAGTATAATACAGTAAAACCTTGGATTGCAAGTAACGTGGTTTGCGAGTGTTCCGCAAGATGAGCAAACATTTCTAATACATTTTAACTTGGTAAACGAGTGATGTCTTACAGTATGAGTAGTTTGTTTCCAGAACAAATTATGCTCGCAAGCCAAGTACTTTTTAACTTGGTAAACGAGCGATGTCTTACAGTATGAGTAGTTTGTTTCCGGAACGAATTATGCTCACAAATCAAGGTATTACTGTACATTCATCTTCCTTTTTCATCTAACTTGAAATATTTTTTATTTCATATTTGCTTTACCCTACAAAGAAAACTTACAGTAATATATTATGCAGTTAGAGTAGTTGTAAGTTGGAACATAGGAACTAAATACTTATCAGCTTAATCCATCTGGTTGATAATATTTTCTTAGATTTTTATCTAGGAAATTGGTTTATCACACATGTATCCGAGTTCATAATAGATTTCCCACGTATCATGCCTCCTTTTCAACTCCTTCTTCTTTGTCTATCTGATCCATCTTTAAGGACCAATTCAAGTCTTACCTCTTCCACAAAGCCTTTACTGATTTTCACAGTAATGTCTTTGACCGTTGGGTACCCATTGGATTTATCTACTGCACCTCTTACTTGGCACTTGGAATATATTGCCTTGTTTTAGTAATTAGTGTGTGTTTTTCGTGAATCTTTATTATTGTGGGTAAGAAATAGGCTTTAGAACCAGACTCTCTCGGTTACACTGACTAACTGTATAACCAAAGAGTAAACTCTCCATGGCTCACTTTTCTCATCCGTAAAATGGAGACAGCAGTAGTATCTACCGCTGGTGTTCCTATTAGGATTAGATGAGTTAATACATGTAAAATACTTAGACAATGTTTTCTTCATAGTAAATACTTGGTAATTGTTAGCTTTAAAACTCCACTAAATAAATTGTACCTTAAGAAAGAAGAATGTTTGCCTTTTGGGAGGTTGTTATTTTTTAGCTGTTATACCTTCTACAAAACCAAGCATAGGGACCGGCCGAGTGGCTCAGTTGGTTAAGAGCTCGCTCAAGAGTTTGAGCTCTGAGCAACAGCGGTTCGAGTCCCGCCCGAGCTGAGCAGCCGCTGAGCTGCTAACAGGTAACAACCAAGCATATAAGACGCTCTCAGTAGATTTTTTGAGAGTTTTTGTATTTATGACATTTTATTTTTTTCCTAAAACTTTCTCATTTTCTACACAAAATGTTTTGTGCTAGGAATAATAAAGAAATGTGTATGCTATCAGTCTTAAACAGATATATACTCCATTTTCACTCTGAGATGTTGAACAACTTCTACTTCACTGAAAATACTATACTTTTGTGAATTTCTTTTGGGCCTTTGTCTTTCCTAAAGTTAAATCTAAATCTTTATTAGTTCTCTTTACCTTCTCATAAGATGATTTTTCTCAACCTTTCTAAATATGATTGCCCTTAACTGATTTAGTTTTTACTTTATACCAACCCCTTTTCCCTCCAACAGTTTAATATTTCCAGCAGGAAATATTATTTAGGAACTTATTAGGAACTTCAGATTAAATCAGATTTACCCACTTCATTGACCTTTCTCTCCCCTACACAAATTCCCTTTTCTGCTTTGCTTCTTGTGATAATACATATTCAGATATGTTGGAATACAGGAGTCCATTTTTGGAGCTGCTCGTTTTATCTTCAGTATTTAATCAGTAATTATGATTTATGGATTTTTTTTCTGTGTTCTCTTTGGTATACCTTTTTATGTCCACAGTTATCACCCTATTCGAAGACTAAGTCCTTTCTATAAAACAAACTAACCAGTTTTCTAATGTCTTGTTTCTTCTTCCACAAATTAGTCCATCCCTTTGATCATTATCAGCTCTCTTTTCTAAAACACTGCTCCGTCATGTCATTCCATTATTCCACAAGTGGAACTAACATTTACTGAGCAATATTTACCTTCCCTAAAAATGTTAGAGCATATGTAGAACATTATTTTATACTATCTTGTTATATTTCAAGCTTTGTTTCCCCAAAAAAGTTATTGCCCCTTGAGAAATAGAACTACATTTTAAATTTATGTATTTATTTTTAAATTCTTAAAACATGCTATATACACAATCAAAATAATTACATTCTAAATAAATAGATTTAGTCAAAATGAATTAGGGAAGCCAATATAATTTTTTAAGGTGGAAATTATACTTTATTGAATAATGAAAGAAGTACTATTGTTCTGTCTTTGAAATCACAGAATCTGCTATGTATGCCTAGGAATTTTAATGCTTCTATTTGAATATTAAAGATGTGCCTGTATACCTCACTTTGATACTTTGGTTAGTTCCAGGTACCTCTTGTTATGTTTCAAAACTTTTTTCAAACCAGGCTTTATTCTTATTATCACCATAGTCGCTCTTACTCTCTCTGAAATCAGTTCTATGATTTCCTTAAACCTTGCCTGAATTTTAATGAATCTCTCACTTTTCAACATGAAAAGACATAGGCTTATCAATTTTCTTCACCCAGATGCCAGGGCAAAGAAACCATACCAGTTGTCTTTGAATATTAAAGCCTTAAAATCTAAAAGAGCAAGACCAGTCTCAGCAGACAGGAATCTCGAAAAGCTCTCATAGCTCTTGTGACAGTGGTCCCCTTCAGTGTGTCTTTGTATCTTGGCTCAAGCCAGTGTTGCCACACTACTCTCCAACCATGCGGAGTGCCCCTGTGGACTCTGCAACCCTTTGTCTACCTCTGTGTGTTCACCCCAGATCATTAGACACTAGCAGCAGCCCAGGCGATGGGAACAAATTGCCTTTGCCAATAATACAGCATGGGATTTCTATGAATTTTCAGGATTAATGTCCGTGTTGGCAGAAATAAGACCAAAGAATGACTTGGGGCATCCTTTTTGTGATAATTTGAGATCTGGAGATTGGATGATTGACTATGTCAGCAGCCGGCTTATTTCACGATCAGGAGCTATTACTGAAGTAAGTAAAGCTATATTCTAGTTCGAAAAAACTAGGGCACAGTAAGAACTGTATTACCATGTTATAGATAATATTTACATTGTTTTCTAGCCAGAAACATTTTCCTTTCTTCTTCTTCATCTTTCATTTCTAATAAATGGATATCTGGTTGCTAGATGACTAGTTAATAGAGTTGCATGTTTGGGTTTACCTCTTAAAATATACCTAGCTGGTAAACACAACAAATTAACTTTTTAAATTATTTTGATAACAGGTTGGTAAATGGTTGCAGGCTATGTTCTTTTACCTGAAGCAGATCCCACGTTATCTTATCCCATGTTACTTTGATGCTATATTGATTGGTGCATACACCACTCTTCTGGATACAGCATGGAAGCAGATGTCAAGGTATAGCCAACAAAGCTTGAGTGAATGAGCATGTTGTGTAGAAACCACATACAGAGTAGTTTGTACATGCTTTTAAAAGACCAAAACGAAGAATTGTCATAGACTCATA